TCTCCTTTTTTGTACTGCTGTGATGCTTACTGTATGTATGTAAAGTAGAATATTTACGTACATTAGCTGAACGTGGGACATATTCACCCTGGCAATGTTTAAGTAAGAGGGGTCAGTGGAGTTGCCAGACATATGGAGAGCATTTGGACATATTCAGACTCTGCATGGACCACAAGAGAGGCAGGCCGAGTGTTATACATCTTGTTTTGGTAACAGCTGATTTTCATAAGAATGTTAAATAGCCACAATCCTCCACACAATTCTGGATCTGTCTTACTAAAAAAAACACATTTAACTCAATTATGCATTTGCTATTTTCAATATTTTTCAAGACTGAAATTACTTTCATTTCGTTATTCGTTTTTTTACTGAATATGTCTTTGATTATAACCCTTGGCATATTAGCAATTTAAAATTGAACTTTTGGCTTCTGGGTCAGATCGTAATTGCTCAATAAGTATTATTGAGGACTCTTATAAACCAATTAACCTAGGCACAGTTTAAATGTGGGTGACCTCCATGCCAAACCCTTAGTTTCTATCTGCTGCTCTGTAGAAATCTTGCCTTTTCTCGAATGTGAAGTTATAAACTCAAAGCTTCAATGATGTGTTTGAATTGATCTAATAATTTTACTTATTTAGTAATTGCTGTTAACAGTTCTGCTTGCTGTCAATGAATACTCTACAGGAGGGTATATGATTTTGGTAGAAGGCTTTACTTTTTAATGTGAAGACAATAGATAGCCACAACATTCCCTGCTTACAGTATATTGACAGATGGGCTTTTTTGACCATTTTGGAAGAAAATGGTCAAAAAAAGCTTTTCACATTAAAAGCCCAGGACCAAAACTGTTAAAAAAGTAATCTCTGTGCACCCAAATGCAACATGTTATTCTGGTGATGTCATTGTGATTACCTATCACACGCAAGAGATAAGAAGCAACAGTGAGCCATGAGAAATTTCACTGAAAACCTCAGGAGGGCAAAGACAGACAGGGGAGGAGAGTGGGAGACTGAGATCAATGATAATGTGATATGATCGATGACATAGTGGAGCTAGCAATTCCCCTCTGGTGGTCTCAACCTCCACCGATTCAGAGTTGTAGATAGTACATTTTGTTTGGATTGGCTTTAATCTTCCCATAGACAGACACTACAAGACAGGCGGTATGCTGCAAGCGTTTTCCATTTTGTGCCACAAGAGAATTGTGTCAGGTTCTGCAAGTGCACAAGTGCAGATGCGTCAGTGTGGCACGTTGACAGGCAGCTTGTTCAAATAAAGAACTGACAAAGCTCTGAAATAAACAGCTCGACTGTTGAGGAAAGTACAGAAACACATGCACAGACAACAGAAAACAAAAACAGCGCTGTTGGTTCTCGGAAACTGTCGGTCCATGGTGAAAGAATATTTTTGCAAATGTTTTCAAATGCAGTGCATTCTTTTTACACTTCAAATGATTTACAAATGGTTACAGATTAGTTTAAAAATGTGAGAAAATGAAAAACTAAAGTTGTTTTGTGACAGCAAAGGCTTTCCATTACTTTTGTTGAAGTTATATTTGACAAATGGCTTCATATGGAGCTGGTTGTTTTTAGACAAAAGAGTGCGAACCAGATGATGAGTGGGGCTCATTGCTAGAGAATACTGTTCGTGAATCAAAATACTGTGTCATCCATCTATTGAATCTGTCTCAAAAGATGACATGCTCCGATGAATTTGAAATGGCAAATATTCTGACAAATAGCAGACAGAGAGTCTACACTACAGCTATGCTAGCAGCTTTGTGATAGTTGTAGGCAATTAAGTGCTTTGAGCTAAATGATAATGTCAGCATGCTAACATGCTAACAATGACACTGCAAACAAGCTGGAGCTTAGAATGTGTAATGTTTCCGTTGTGTTTAAAATGCAGCTGAAACTGATGGTAATATTATTATTTTGTTATGGTGAGTAACCACAGCTGAACCAAATGTAATGACAATTTGTAACCCTTTCTGTCACCAAAAACGGTCTAGGTCCAACCTGTACTACTGTATAAAGACTACAACATGTTGTTGACACTAGGGCGAAAGTGAGGGGATCACAAAAGTCCTCCTCTAGTTGTTAAGATTTTTCAGTCTGTAGCAAAGAGGTTTGCCAATTGACTGGCTAGGACATCCCTAAAAACACATATACTTTATTATACTGCAGCAGTCAGATTGTCTAATGGGAAAGAGAGATAACTTTGTTCCTGGGAAAAACTGGAAAAACAGAAGGGCAATTTAGGTCCTCTAAAATGGAGAAGTACCAACAACAAGCAAGGACATATTAAATAGCTTTATTACAGTGGGTTGATCATTAAAAAGTCAACATGTTTTAAACACTGTTAGGTCTTAGTCATCGCTAATAAAAAGATATATTTTTATGATTTGTGTACAAATAATTTCCTTCCTCCTGGTTAATTGTTCAATTTGAACCGACTGGGTCACCTTCCTGTTTATAATTGTTTATAATGCTTGACAAAAGAGGCATTTGTTTTACATTATTAAAACAATTCGGCAATTGTTTGGCTCTGGTCCATGCTTACCCGTGTGCCCATGGTGTTTAGATAAAATAAAAAAATAAGCCAGGTCTGTGTCCCCACCACAAAGCCCAAAATAAACCACATTTAAATTCTCCAAGATGTTTCCTGGCCATACAGATGAAAATATTTACTTATTGAAGTAACAATTGATGATGTCTCAGATGGAATTGCCAAGACATCACGTGACAGAGAAAGCATGCAGGCAGAAATATGTTGCCCCAAAGACATGTCTGAGACTTTGCAATTAGCTTTAAGCTGTCCCGATGTTAAGGAATCCACCAGGAGGCCAACATGTCTGCCGCTGTTCACACCTCCACTCATCCTTGAGGTCTAATAACCAGTGCTTATATTGTGGTCACCAGATATGAACGCAGCAACAGTGATGTGTTTAATAGAGCCTTTGTTGTTCAGACACAGCCATAACAGTATAACATCCTCCAATTAAACGAGTGAAGTAATAACAACATTATCACTTTATCAACAATGACCTGATCAGATGTTCTCCCGCACAAGGCCTCTGTTTGGAGCTGAGGTCTATTTGTAGATATTTGAATAATTTCTATTGAGATCCTTTTTGGTTCAGAGAGGAGAGTCAAACAACTGTTCTACACTACACCTATTTTATGTGTCCCATTGGTGGCATTCATGGGTATATAAGTGGTATATTAATAAATGTTTCCACTGTTTTGGTTTCCACCATGGGTATAATAATCACTCTACCTGGGGCAGAATAAAGGTTGGGTTGGGCCCAGATAAAAAGTCATAAACATCATCACCTCAGAGGGAGATTTAGTTTAATATACGCTAATAATAACAATGACAATCATATTTTACTATCACTGCTCAGAAAAACAGGGCCCAAAGACAAATCAGACAATAAAAGAGGTATTTTATAGAGATTGAAAAGGGTTGTATTTCATTATAAAGTCTCAACAACACTTATCCACATAATTACGGTTGGTTCCCAGGTTGGTCTGTCACAGCAAAGAATGGCCCAGAAAGAGCCAAGAACTTTTATTGAGCTGATATTAATTGATTTGTCCTGACCTACCTGGCCTCCCCGGGCTCAGCTTCCTTAGCCGAGTATTGCCAAGGTATGTCCTAGCTCTGCATGAAAATAAATGAGAAGCTATCGGGCCAACTCTCTAAAGCCAGAGGATATTGTTCGATTTCACGTCAGCCCTCCAGGAGGCAATTTAAACAACCCAGCATGCTAATCAACCTGGTATAAAAGACACCTCTTTTTCTTTCTCTCCTATTGCAACAGGGCCAGAAAGGACCTAAACAACCTAAGGGGAAAAGCAGGGCCTGTGCCTGAAAGAATATTACGGCCCAGTGTATTATAACTATGATGTGGAAATGGAAACAAGTACTTTTATTTTAAAAAGCATTCCATGGTAGGTTAGGCTGGCATGACAGTGACTTTTTTTTTTTATTTCAGGGGAAAAAGCCTTGGGGTAACAATTGTTCCACATAAAATATGCTTATATTAAAAATGTTGGCATAGTGAAATGACTTGAAGACTCTGCGCCTGTAAGCTTCCCTGCTGCCTTCAACACATCAGCGATGTCTCAGTGGAACCACATTGTGACCCTCGTCGGAGGAGGCATAGCCCCGATCCCCACAAATAATTCAATACTCTAATATCCCCTCAGTATTCGTTGTGACCACAGAAATAGGATAGTGTTCATTTTCTCCTTGTGCCCTGAACCCACAGGTCAGGTGGTAGCAGATCACAGACGTCTCTGTGGCTCAGAGGTTAAACTAATCATGCATGACTTTCTCACATGGCCCAGCCACTGCCTTAAGAAATCTACACCAGCTTGTCGTCCATGCAGCGAGTGGACCTGCTTTTTCATCATAGCTGCTTTAGTTGATTTGACTGTGGCAGCTTTCCACTCAGTTCAACACTTTATAAACACAGTGGCACAAACTCCTACACACTGCAGTTATACAACTCCTCATCGCCATGAACTCAAAGTGCACGTATGCTTTAGAGAAATGTTCTGTTTCCTGTTAAACTGCATCACAATTATCAAAGGTGTGTTGCCTCTATAGATGAGGATGTCCTTCACTTATCTGTGTTTAGAACAATACAAAAAAACATAATTTCCTATATTCAGTTTATGTGTAGAGCTGATAAACACTGCCCCCTACTGGCGCACACACATATTGACAGTTATTTACCAGTATCAGGTAATGCAGTGTCAGTGCTTTTTGTTATAGATTTGCTGTGCTAAGCTGTCAAACACACCATCAGTTTATCACCTTATTTTTCTCTTATTTCATCAATAATTTCCTCCATGATACATAGCTTCTCCTGTAAATAAATCCCTGGAGCTTTCTGGCTCCATTTCTTATTTTTTAAACGAATCTCTCGAGCAAATCCTGTAACCATCAATACATATTCTGCTACCATCATTACAGTACAACAACAAAACTGTAGAATCTGAGCTTTTATTTAAAAATTCAAATGCCTTTACTAACCAGGACAGTGAAACATTTCTAAAACAATATCATCAGCAAAAACTCAAGCGTTAGAAAGGTAAAAAACACATTGTAAACAAATCTAAGTGTCATGCATGGAAATATTCTATAAATCATTAAAAGTTAATAATGTGAAATATACCCTGAGCTCCAAAACACTTCAAATATTAGCAGTGATAAGCTGGTCTCAATACAAATAAATTAATACATGAAACGTTATAAATACTTGGAGGAAAGGTCAAATATGTATTTTCTATTGTTATATGCTTACAGTATCGTAAACACATATATTGTCCATTATAAATCCAGACAAATTATTTATTGTGTTTGATGATTTTACTCCCCTACAACACCTTCATTAAAGCTTTAAGATTTAAAAAATGGCAAATATCTATTGTGTGAGCACGTCACAGTCTCTGCACAATCAACTACAAATGTTTCCAAGGTCACAATATAACATTTACAAGATTAGTGCTGTTAAATTGATTAGAGTTCTAAATTCTTATTTATAAACATAAATTAAACATATTATGTAGAGTTATTAGTGGATAAGTTATATCGTTTAAAAAGACAAACAATTAAAACAATTGAAAAAACAATGCAGCTGTTAATCTAACACTTGTTGAATAATATTTCAAATAACTTTATAGTTACAAATAAGAGAAGTAGGGTTATCTTAAAAAGGAAGCAACAAATGTGTTAGTTTTACACCCTGGTGCTCTGCCCTATCACCTCCTGCACACTGCCAAGTAAACATGTAAATAATATAAAGTCATTTCAGGAGCATGCCAGCTCTTTGAGAGATGGTTATCTCTGTTGTCCACTGCATGTTACGGAGATAGAATAATGGCATTACTGATTTCATTTTGATATTTTGAATCAACCCCTTGCTAATTGTCTGCTTCTTTTCCTGCTGTATGTCCATCTTTTCAATTTCTTTCTGCAATACCACAGCAGGTATTTCTCTACATTTTGACTGTCTATAAATTCCTAAATAGTCCTTGAACTCTACCTTTAAATCGTTGTATTGATCTCATGTCCTGCTGATGTGTTGTGTTTACACCTGCACTTTTATTATCAACTTCCATCTTGAATTCTACCTTTCATATTTGCCAAGTTGCCTGAAGGCCTAAGCAACAACTTTATCTTTCTTTTGTTCTTCTTCATCATCCTCACTAAGGCTTTCATTGCCTGGCTTTTCCTCTTTACGGCCACACTCGACCTCATGTTTATCTTCAACAACATCACCCTTATCTTTATCTGACTGCACCTTAGACTTATCATGGCCTTGTTGTTCCTCTTCTTCTTGATCTGGCTGTGCTCCTGCAGTGTCTGGAGTCTCTTGAAAGGTATTGCTAGGTGTGGGGCTCTGAGATTGCTGGGAGGTGGCTAAATACAGATCTGGTTCCTTATCTGTTTCTTTACAGTCGCCTACACTTTCTGTTTTATTTCCATCTTCGGAAACCGGTTTGACTGTTTCACTGACCTCTTGCTTTTTGTCTTGGCTTGAGTGTGTTTCTTCTTCTGCGGCTTTTAAATCTTGCTCATGTGTTGTTTCTAACCCTTTGTGTTCAGGAAGGGTGGGCGAATGTTCGTCTTCGGTAGAGTCGTCTGATTCATTTCTTTCCTCCTCACCAGATGAGTCAGACTCTCTGACATTCTTCTCATTAGTTTCTTTGTGTCCAAAAGTACTGTCCTCGGGTGGCTGAGCAGGAGAACAAGTCTCAGCGTTGGCAGGAGCAGACTGCATTTCCTCAGCCTTATCGTCTTTCTTCTCTGGCTCTAAAAAAAACACATAGTAAAAGAAAAAAGCATGATGAGTGCACCTGACCTCAGCATTTCACAAGAATTAAATCAGTCTTCCTTCATGGTTATTTAATAAAAAAATAGTAATAAAGTGAATCTAATATAATTCCTCCAGCTTTTAACTTGTTCTATAGTATTCATGTCCAAATTATGAACTTTGGACTTTTAAAAAAACCGCCATCATTGGTCAATGTTCATCTTTCTTCTATCAACTAGAACATCAACAAATGTTTATCCGCCAAGTTCTTTGCAAGAATACTCAATCAATTAACGAAACAGCTGCTGCATCCTCTGTTGGTGTTTCAGATATTCTAAAGGATGTCTAACCTAACCTGGGTGTTTCATCCAGTGTTTCTATACACTTTAACAAAGGTTAGTCACACTACTGCTTTGAAGAGCCGTCCATTAGATGTCCCTAATGAAGTATTTTATATTTGCTTTTTCAGTGTTGGTTTACCTCTGTGATTATCTGAATCAAGCTCAAACGTTGTAGTTTCCAAACCTGTGTGTTCAGGAACGGAGGATTCCAGGTCAGACAGCGTCTCCTCACTCGAGACGTCCGTCACAACAGCTGGGTCTGGATCTTCTTTCTCAGAGTCTGAGTTGTCGACCTGTGGGGTTTCTTCGTCTGCAAACTCTCTGTGCTGGTCTGCATCTTCAGCTTCAAGATTATTTTGAGGGAAAGGAGGAGACATAGTTTTCTCATGCTCATCAGTGGTATTTCCTAAACCAGAAACACAGAAAACAGAAATGTTTCAAAGATGAATGCACACAGAGCAGTCTTTGGAAATGTGAAACAAACAAAAGACAATAGTGTAAAAGTAGTATGGAAACATGAATCATCTTTCATTTGAATAATCGCTTAAAAAGTCATCTTCAATATTTGAACGTTTCTTTTTTACTTTGGGTTTTTAAGAACATTTCACTTTTTTTGGACATATAAGTAATATGATTGATTGATTAAACACTAAATGTATAAGCTACAAATGAACATAAGCAATAGATGCCGCTGTCAACATATAGTATTGTTTATACTATTTTTAAGATATCATTAATAAATTAGTGTTACAGGAATCTTTTTTTGGACTATCATCTTCTTGATTATCGATAATATGATCCGTGAACAAAAAAAGAAAATAATCAAATAAAGACTGCAATCTTATATTTGCGTTTCACTATTCAGTTTTGTGTCCTTATTCTTCATCTTAGTGTTTGTTTCCTCTGTGATTATCTGAATCAAGCTTAAATGTTGTAGTTTCCAAACCTGTGTGTTCAGTAACGGAGGATTCCATGTCAGACCGGCTCTCCTCACTCGGGACGTCCGACACATCAGCTGACTCTGGATCTGCCTTCTCGGAGTCTGAGGGGTCACACTGTGGGATTTTATCATCTGCAAGCCCTTTGTGCTGGTCTGCATCTTCATCTTCAACATTACTTTGATCCAGAGAAGAAGCTGACCCACTATGTGTAGGGGAAGGAGGAGACGCAGTTTTCTCATGCTGGTCAGTGTTCTTTTCTAAACCAGAAACACAGAAAAAAAGGAATGCATTCAGAGATTAAACAATACAGGGCAGTCTTGGGAGTTGGTAGTCAAACAAAACCAATGTGCAATATCTGAATTAAGCTCAAAAGTTGGAGTTTCCAGACCTGGCTGCTCAGGAACGATAGAGGATTCCAGGTCAGACTGCGTCTCCTCACTTGGGACGTCCATCACACCAGCTGTGTCTAGATTTTCTTTCTCAGAGTCTGAGTTGTGGACCTGTGGGGTTTCTCCCTCTGCAAGCTTTCTGCGCTGGTCTGCATCTTCAGCTCCAACATTACTCTGACCCAGAGAAGGTGACTCATTATGCCGAGGGGAAGGAGGAGACGCAGTTTTCTCATGCTCTTCAGTGTTCTTTTCTAAAACAGAAAAACAGAAAAAGGGAATTAAAGCAAAAGAAGGCTTTGATAAATTAACCAGACAGAGCAATCGTGGGAATTAGAAGTCCAACAAAAGCAATGTGTTAGTAAGAGTAGTACGGAAACTATACATTGATCAATTCATTAATTACCAGAAACGGAATCATCTTTCGTCTGATGAATCATTTATAAAGCAAAACAAAGTTCACCTGATGTGCACCTGACTGCTAGGAATTGTTACAATAATTGAATCAGTCTAACTCCATGGAGATTTATGTTTGCAAAGAATAATCAATCACTTGTGAAAACCTGCTGCACCCTCTGTTTGTGTGTAAGATATTACAAAAGATATCTAATCAAACCTAACTGGGTGTTTCCTCTAGTGCTGATGTACACCTTCACAGAATCTACTCACACTATAGTAATGTAGAATAATGAGAGGTGGGAAGTAACAAAGTAGATTTCAAGTACTGTACTTAAGTACAATCTTGAGATAATTGTACTTTACATTACATTACATTGCATTTAGCTGACGCTTTTATCCAAAGCGACTTACAATAAGTACATTCGACCAGGAAGACACAACCTTGAAGAAAACAGAATCATATAAGTACATCAGGTTTCATAGAGCCAAACATTTCAAGTGCTACTCAACTGGCTGTAGATAAGCCAGTCCTTTATTAGTATATAAGTGCTTTGTTAGCAGTTCTTTGTTAGTAATTCTATCGCTCGAAGTGGAGTCGAAAGAGATGAGTTTTCAGTCTGCGCCAGAAGATGTGTAAGCTATCTGCTGTCCTGATTTCAATGGGGAGCTCATTCCACCATTTTGGAGCCAGGATAGCAAACCCACGTGTTTTTGCTGATGGGAACTTGGGTCCCCCTCGCAGCGAGGGTGCAGCGAGTCGTTTGGCTGATGCAGAGCGAAGTACACGCGCTGGGGTGTACAGTTTAACCATGTCCTGGATGTAGGAAGGGCCAGATCCATTCGCAGCATGGTAAGCAAGTACCAGTGTCTTGAAGTGGATTCTAGCAGTTACCGGAATCCAGTGAAGGGAGCGGAGGAGCGGCGTGGTGTGGGAGAATTTAGGAAGGTTGAAGACCAGACGAGCCGCTGCATTCTGGATGAGCTGCAGAGGTCGGATGGCACATGCAGGTAGACTAGCCAGGAGGGAGTTGCAGTAGTCTAGGCGTGAGATGACGAGAGCCTGGACCAGAACCTGCGTTGTTTTCTAGGTCAGCTGGGGACGTATCTTCCTGATGTTGTAAAGAGTGTATCTGCAGCAGCGGGTTGTAGCAGCGATGTTTGCAGAAGGACAGGTTGTTATCTAGGATCACACCCAGATTCCTTGCAGTCTGAGAACTTTACTTGAGTATTTCCATTGTATGCTACCTCTACTCCACTACAATTAAGAGGTAAATCATTTACTTGTACTCCACTTCATTTATATAATACCTTTAGTTACTTTACAGATTTGGATGAATGATGTGAAATACAATCAACACTTAAATCAGACTTTAGTTTCACCTGGAGTAAATCCACAAGCTACCCTGCAGTATACAAAGTCATTAAACTAGCTGCACCTTTACCAGCTTTGATACCACTTTAATTATCAATCATTATAATCAAAACATATAATATATTATACTAAAATGGCCCAATCTGCATAATGAGTGCTTTTACTTTTGGTAATATAAGTATATTTTGATGCCAATACTTTTGTACTTTTACTTGAGTAACCTTTTTAAGGCAGGACTATTTTCTTGTAACAGAGTATTCCTACACTCTGGTACTTCTACTTTTACTCAAGTACAAGATGTGAGTACTTCTCCCACCTCTGAGAAAAGTTTAGTTGTACCTGTCCATTAGTTGTTCCTAATTACATTGAACAAAAATATAAATGCAACACAAAGATCTAAAACATTTTCTATATACACAAAATAACCATTTCTCTCAAATATTGTTCACAAATCTGAAAAAATCTGTGATAGTGAGCACTTCTCCTTTGCCGAGATAATCCATCCCACCTCACAGGTGTGGCATATCAAGATGCTGATTAGACAGCATGATTATTGCACAGGTGTGCCTTAGGCTGGCCACAATAAAAGGCCACTCTGAAACGTGCAGTTTTGCTTTATTGGGGGGGTCTGGGGGGGTCCGAAAACCAGTCTGGTGTGACCACCATTTGCCTCACGCAGTGCAACACATCTCCTTCACATAGAGTTGATCAGGTTGTTGATTGTGGCCTGTGGAATGTTGGTCCACTCCTCTTCAATGGCTGTGCCAAGTTGCTGGATATTGGCAGGAACTGGAACACGCTATCGTATACGCCGATCCAGAGCATTCCAAACATGCTCAATGGGTGACATGTCCGGTGAGTATGCTGGCCATGCAAGAACTGGGATGTTTTCAGCCTCCAGGAGTTGCGGACAGATCCTTGCAACATGGGGCCGTGCATTATCATGCTGCAACATGAGGTGATGGTCGTGGATGAATGGCACAACAATGGGCCTCAGGATCTCGTCACGGTATCTCTGTGCATTCACAATGCCATCAATAAAATGCACCTGTGTTTGTCGTCCATAACATACGCCTGCCCATACCATAACCCCACCACCACCATGGGACACTCGATTCACAACATTGACATCAGAAAACCGCTCACCCACACGACGCCACACACGCTGTCTGCCATCTGCCCTGAACAGTGAAAACCGGGATTCATCCGTGAAGAGAACACCTCTCCAACGTGCCAGACGCCATCGAATGTGAGCATTTGCTCACTCAAGTCGGTTACGATGACGAACCGGAGTCAGGTCGAGACCCCGATGAGGACGACGAGCATGCAGATGAGCTTCCCTGAGACGGTTTCTGACAGTTTGTGCAGAAATTCTTTGGTTATGCAAACCGATTGTTGCAGCAGCTGTCCGAGTGGCTGGTCTCAGACGATCTTGGAGGTGAACATGCTGGATGTGGAGGTCCTGGGCTGGTGTGGTTACACGTGGTCTGCGGTTGTGAGGCCGGTTGGATGTACTGCCAAATTCTCTGAAACGCCTTTGGAGACGGCTTATGGTAGAGAAATTAACATTCAATTCACGGGCAACAGCTCTGGTGGACATTCCTGCTGTCAGCATGCCAATTGCACGCTCCCTCAAAACTTGCGACATCTGTGGCATTGTGCTGTGTGATAAAACTGAACATTTCAGAGTGGCCTTTTATTGTGGCCAGCCTAAGGCACACCTGTGCAATAATCATGCTGTCTAATCAGCATCTTGATATGCCACACCTCCTGTGAGGTGGGATGGATTATCTCGGCAAAGGAGAAGTGCTCACTATCACAGATTTTTTCAGATTTCTGAACAATATTTGAGAGAAATGGTTATTTTGTGTATAGAAAAAATGTTAGATCTTTGAGTTCATCTCATGAAAAATGGGAGCAAAAACAAAAGTGTTGCATTTATATTTTTGTTCAGTGTATGTATTTTATGAATGCTTTTCACTGTGCTGAAATGTATTTTGTTTCTGTTATTCCTCATCCTAGTGTTTGTTTTTCACTCTGACAATCTGAGTCAAGCTCCAACTTTGTTTTATAGTTTCCAAACCTGTCTGTTCAGGAACGGAGGATTCCTCACTCAGGACGTCCGACAGATCAGCTGGGTCTGGTCCTGCCTTCTCAGAGTCTGTGAGTTTACCCTGTGGAATTTCTCTCTCTAGATTCTCTCTGTTCTGGTCTGCATCTTCATCTCCTAGATTATTCAGATCTGGAGAAGAAGCTGACCCACTATGTGTAGGGGAAGGAGGAGACACACTGTTCTTTTCTAAACCAAAAACACAGAAAAAAATAGATTAAAGAAAAAGAAGACTTAAAACACACAGAGCAGTCTTTGAAATTGGGAGTCAAACAGTATTGTGTTAGTAAAAAGTAGGATGAAAACAATATATTGATCAATGAATTGATTAACAGAAGATAAATCATCTTTCATTTAAATTATCATTTATAATGCACACAATGTACAACAAATTCCATACCTTTTTTCTTTTTTCATTACTGCCGATTTTCTTCCCCATATTTTATTCTATTCCATGTCTATGTAAATACTGTTATATTTGACTATATTTGTTATTATCTTTAATAGTTTTCTAGTTCTCCATCTGTGTTTTGATTTTTGTTTTACTTTTATGTATGCACCATGACATCAAGTCAAATTCCCCGTAAGCGTCAACCTACCCGGTAATAAACTGATTCTGATTCTGATAAAGCAAAAGAAAAACAGAAAGTACAATCTAGAAAGTGTAATAAGTGCACCTGACTGTTGGAATTTCTACAATAATTAAATCAGTCTAACTCCAAGGAAGTGTTTGTTTTCCTCTGTGATTATCTGAATCAAGCTCAAATGTTGTAGTATCCAAACCTGTCTGTTCGGGAACGGAGGGTTCCAGGTCAGACTGCGTCTCCTCACTCGGGACGTCCGACACACCAGCGGGGTTTGGTTCTGCCTCCTCAGAGTTTGTGGCTTTACCAAGTTGGATTTTTTCTTCTAGATGCTCTCTGTCTGCATCTTCATCTCCAAGATTATTTTGATCCTGAGAAAAGGCCGGCTGAGGAGAACGAGGACACGCAGTTTTCTTACTTCCTAAACAAGAAACACAGAAAAAAGGAATTGAAGAAAAAAAATATGCTTTCAGAGACTAAAACCAAGAAAGCAATCTTAGAAAATTGTAAAACAAACAAAAGCCAAAGTCAGGAAAATAAGTTGGAAACAATACATTGATCAACAGAAAATTAATCATACAAAAAACTTTTGGTTTTTGGAAAGAAATCCCTTGGCTGTTGGTCAAATAAAGAAATCTTCAAAATGTCAACTATTTAAAAAAGAAAGTGTGATATAATATAAATAAATGATTGATTTATTGATTATAAAAATGTATTAGGAAAAACTGAACATAAGCAATAGTTGCCGCTGTCAACTAACAATAAGGTAAACTTAATACCCCTCTGTGATCCGTAGATATGTCCAGAATTGTTTTGTTCATGGTATCTTATGAGCTCTTTGGTGCCCCCTGTAAACAGTGAACAGCACACGCATTAACATATTATTTTGACTATGTCTAAGATATAATTAATAAAATATTGTTAGTGGAACCTTTTTGTGGCGTATCAGCTTCTTGATCATCGATATTATGATCTGTGAACAAAAAAAGAAAGGAATCAAATAAAGACTGCAATCCTGGTTTAGTCCTTAATTGCTTCAATTGATAAAAACGTGAAACTAATTCAGAATCTGTGACCTTTTTGTGATTTCTAGCAGGTTCATGTTTCTATTACCTTGATTAAAATGGAGAGACTGGTTAGAGGGTAGTGTGGTATCACTGTGATGAAGAAGACGCTCTTCTTCAGAACGATCTGCTTTCTTCTTATCTTCCCCTGAAATAGCTTGAAATACAAAACACAATGTGACTCACTGTTACGAAATAATGATATTGAATATAAAAAAATATCTAAAACAATAATACGTGAAAAAAAAGGAATCAAATAAAGACTTCCTGGTTTAGTCCTTAACTGCTTCGATTGATAAAAACCTGAAACTACTGATTTCTAGCAGGTTCATTAAGCTTCATATTTATATTACCTTGATTCAAATTGCGAAGAGGCTGGTTAGAGCGTAGTGTGGATTCTCTGTTAGGAATACCATACTTTCTTTCAGAACGCTCTGCTTTCTTCTCATCTTTCCCTAAAACACCTTGAAATACAAAACATAATGTTACTCACTGGTACGAAATAATGATATTGAATATAAAACAAAGTTCTAAAACAATAATACCTTTAAGAAATGAACAATCAATGAAAGAGCAATATGTAATGCTAATGAAAGGCTGAGAAGCGTTTTCACATGAGAGCCATGGACAAACAAATGGACCCAAGTATGAATTAATATATGCCTTCTTAAAAGCTCAGTCCGAGATTCAAAACACCTGCTGTTTTAATTGAAAGGATTGTGCAGTTTGGAGGTATGGCCTATCTCTGACTGCTTTATAGCTCTTATCTGCAACACTCCCTGTGTACAATGCAGGCTTAACAACAGCTACATTAAACTACTACTCTCTTTAAGTAATCTACAATGTTCTATACAATTACAACAAAGAAAGGAGAAAGAAATTAAGACCATAATGGGTCAGGTTCCTATTATGTTTAATACAATTACCTTTGTTGTCTTTGCTTTTCCTTGAGCTTTCTTTATTGAAAAACCACAACGATTTGAGCACCTAAACTTTTTATTCTTTGATAATTTGTTGTCTTTACTGCTTGTTCTCCCATCTCAGTTGTGCAGACATTAGTATTCAATTAAAATGATTATTCTATTCAAGGACAATTAAGAAAAAAACTATTTTAATTATCAATAAATCATCTTAGTTATTTATAAACGCCACAGCATTTTTTGGTTTAAATAGACAATATCATACCTTTTTTTGGTACAACTGGTGACTGTTTTTCAGGATCATCTTTAGCGAAACATGCTGGAACCATGAGTGAGAGGACACAAAAGAAGAAAGACAAATTGTGTTTGGTTTCCTACGTTTTAAAGTTAGAGTAAAAGAACAACAGCTGCTTGTGTACAATTATACTGCAATTAAATAGGTTGTTAAGCATAATATTCTGTTCTGGAAGGACTTTCGATCTCTAAATGACATAAAGCATTGCTCCATATAGAATATATAAAGTGTAATACTATTACTGTACCTTTATGGCGTAGTTTGCAGAACCAAACTATGCCCAGAACAGCCACAAGGAGCAGAATACAGACACTGACAAGGCCGGCAGTCAGTCCTACAGATGAGCTTTTTACTGCACAGAAACACAAAAGCAAATGTTACAACGACATCTTGTGACATTACATTAATTACTGAAGCAACCCTCTTGATATTAAACCAAATAATTTGGTATTCATTTGAAATACTTTGTTTACCCATTATTACTATCAGTAATATTAATGTATTCATTCTGTGAAACACACAGAGCAGATACATGCAGGTGTTACCCAATAGCTTACAGCGCGTCAATAATAATAATAATGTTCACATTAACATAGTGTTAACATAGTGACCTACCTGGGTAGCAATCCTTTGCAGTGAATGTAGCTGTTCCACTACTCCGAGGGTTGCTGACTGTACAACTGTACTCTTCCTCATTATGTTCACCCCCCAGAGGAATGTTAAACTCCGGGCCAGGCTGCACGCTTCCATGAGATCTCCACTCCAACTTCTTTACGGTTTGAAGTCTTCCAGGCTCTGCAGAGCACAGCAGCTTTCCAGAGATGTTACCGATGCTGTCATCGTTTATCTCACAGGATATGGTGGGCTTGGCGATCTTGTCTTAATGAATGCATTAAGGACAAAATTAATCATACCTAAATGAATGATTCTATCATGTTACCTTATCTCTATCTAATAACAACATATTACACATGGTAAAGGATATAAAGGACATAAAGTGCTGAAAAAATATATTGTATTTCATTTAAATTATAACTAATCTTCACTGTCACATAAGGGAACTTGCTGTTCTGTTTAAAATAATTAGTGAGTTAAGGTTATTATAACTAATTAGTTTGAAGTTAGGGAAAGAGTGTTCTCACAGTTAAATATGGCTAAATCTGAATACTGGTATAAATCCTGACATTAAGGCCAACACCCTGACGTTATACTCCAATATAACAAATCCCAGTAATTCCTACTTTGACACTGAATGAAAATGTGCACTACTGTACCTGTAGTTGATTTGAGTCATTACAGTATCTTAACTGATACCAAGGCCATCATAACAATCAAATCAAATGTACAAAGTATAAAATCCTTTTGTATAGGTGACTTATTAATAACATAACTAACAGACACTGTTGGGTGTGGGAGAGAAGTCCCGTCTCAGTGACTCGATGAGTCCTCTGTGGGGCTTTAACACTCTCAAGAAAAGAGCGGTCTATGTCTTTGATACTGCTACTCTGTTTAAAGTTCACAATTGATTTTTTTTAAAACTGTAAATAGATGCTTATTTCATTTATTGTGTTATACTAGTGACTCACAAGCTCGATCATCAGCTACAAGTTGTCAATTACAAGGTGTTCTAAGTTGTATTGATAATAAACATGTATTCACTACTAACTTCATTCGTAATTGAACATGTAAGAATGTTATGTTGATCAGTGTCAAATTTACATTTAAATATCCATTGTAATGTAAAACTATTTGCTAAAAAATATAAACTTTGACAGTGGCATCTTCCTTATTGCATTCCATCCATTTCTTTGTGCATTGGGTTTTATTTTAAGGTTATGTAAAGGCATTGGGGTTGCTATAGGAACACATTAACTACCTGCTATAAAATCACGGTAACATATTCATGTGATAAACGGCATACAACCAAAGTAAGTAAAAAAAAAAACGTACCAATGACTTCCAATTGATAAAAAAAACTGTGCCATTTTTTGTTAAATTCTAGTTCCAACTCATACTCTCCGCTGTCTTCAAACCTGAGGTCAGTAATTTGGATAGCTGCAGAGACCCAGTCAACAGTGATCCTGTTTTCAAATGGTTTGTAGACCTGTTGCTCATTGCCATTAAACTCTACCACTTTGTTGCCTTTATGTTTCCACAGAATTCCATCAGGGTGTCCAGTGACGTCTGGCTTTAAGGACACCTCCCCCCCCCTGCAGTGCATATTCTGGAGACTGTCCTGCAACTAGACACAGAGAAAATACATGAATGTGTAGATATAGGCAGCATAATGTGGAAACGTTTAGTTGTAACATTGAAAGATATGATAACAATAACTAATATCTGTGCAAAACTGTAATAACTTTAATAGCATTGTGCCTGACAGGTGTAGTACTATGATCATTCTCAATGCTGTATGCTATATTCCTATAATAACTTTCGGTATAAATCCAACATTAATTTGAGTTTTTAACCAAAAGAGTTAAAGGTCAATACTTGTGTGTATCACAGACACTTTATTACTACCTGAGATATTATGAACTATTGTACTGAACTTTAGATAAATCATTAACCTGTCCATGCCTGGCCTGTGAGTGAAATAGTAGGAGTGCACTCGAGTTTTTATGACGAAACAAACATTTTATAACCGGAAAAAAGAACAAAAGCATTTTAGAAACAAACTCACCTAGGCATGAGGTGAGGGTGAAATAAGTCAAGAAATACCGACGAGCCATTTCAGAAGAGCAGAAAAATCTCCGTTTGAAGCATTTACTTTCACTTGCAGGTGTTGCAGATATTTTTTTTCTCAACAGAGTTAGTCCAAAGGTTCACGGATTGTTATTTTTACTCCAACAAGTTTGGACAGGCTTTAAAAGAAACTAGTTAATACCTGCGCAGGTGATCCTAGACATAGGGGTGTGTTTTTAGGATCCAGGCAGAATAGCAGCAGGAATAATGGGGCAGGTTTAACACCTATTTCCGGTCTCTCGATCTCGCGATTTCCCCTCACCTTCAAAATAAGTTGGAAATCTGACCATCTAAATCTAAACACATTAACATAACGTAGGCTAAGTGATCAACCTAGAGTTACACACTTGTAAATGAACGAATCAAATATCTCCATAACCATTCAAATGTGTTAAACACTGATTTATACTATATCTACATAGGGGAGAATGGGGTAAATTGAGCCAGTGGGTACATTGAACCACCCCCTGTAACCAGGTAACGATTTATAGTTGTAATCAGGTGACCAGAAATGATGCAAGCTCCTCCCATTTCTCTTTGGCTGTGAAAGAGAGATGCTCATTGTGGCAGTGGTAAGAAGTAAACATTTTTACAAAAAAACGTTTTTTGCTTGTCAAAGTAAATTTTCTAGATGTCAGCTATATCGGCTGTCATGTCAAACAAAATGTATCCAGGTTTGAGAACATGTTGTATATGTTGATGTGTTGGCAGTGTATTAAACCATGTGAATCATTAAGCTAAAGATGACTCTGATTTTTTAAGCTAGGCTATTTTTTCTAAAATGGTGGCTATGGGGTAAAGTCAATCATGGGCCTTGGGGTAAGTTGAGCCAGTGGTTCAATGGAGTAGCAGAATTAAAGTAGGCCCAGTTGATAATAAGAGATCATTGTAGGCTACATTTAAAGATGAATTTACCCTGTGTTTGATTGGTAAGATGTATGAAATTGTATCACCATTTGTATGATTACTTTTCCTTTTAACATTTAAAAAAATATATCAATCAATTCAATCGAAATGTATATTAAAATATTTGAAAAACTGAACTTGTATTTGGTTTGTTATTTATTTTGTTACCTTTAAGATTTGTTGTAGGTATGCCCAGGTTTAAACTGGAAAAAGTGAATTGGTCAATTTACCCAACAGTGGTTCAATTTACCTGGATCAATTTAGCCCTAAACTGGGGTAAATTGAGCCACAAGACCACTTTTTTTTAGAAGTAATATTTAATAATTCTTATCATTGCCATTGATAGGAGACATCCTGAATTATATGTGTGCTTTCATTTAACAATGTGTCATTTATCCTTGCTTAGAGGACAGCTAAAAATAAATGGCTCAATTTACCCCACTCTCCCTAGGATAATCTATCTGCTTATGTAAACCAAAAAAACAGCTAAATTGACCAGCCTGACCAGCCAGTAGATATTAGGCTGGAATGGTTGGCTGGTTTAGAGGGGTTTTGGACACTTTAGCTGGCCAGGATGGCTGGTTTAGCTGGTTCACCAGCTAAACCGGCCACCAGCTAAATCGGTGTTGTGTCAAATGATGCACCGGAACGGGAACGCGCATTTCTAAATGAAACGTTTAGACCTTAAAACGATGCTTACAACGAAAAGTAAACGTCCAGGGTTTTTTTAATGGTAATTTTCAGGGGTGCTTTTTACGCAGGGTTGCCAATTTTGGGTACCTGGCTGGAGTGAGATTTTGATATCATGGGTTTAATTACACATATGCGCACGAAATGACTGCTATCGTGTCAGCAGCGGGACTTTAGTAGCCTATATATAGGATATATATACAATATATACAAATACACAATATTGGACACAGACTACAAAGGGCACAAAGTTTCATTCACTAATGAAAGTCAAACACATGTTTGTTTCCACTGTTTTATTGTGTGCCTGTCGCGATAAGCAATTAATTGACTTATCGTACGATAAATAAAAATGAACTCGATACATTTACATGAGGATGTGACTAGCAGTTTGAAAGGATGTACTTGAATTATTATTATATATTATCATTATGTCAGTGGTCTAAAATGGTCATACAACGGTGCCGACAATATTATCGTTTATCGCAATAATTTCCGGGAAAATTTATCCAACAAAATTCATTATCGTGAGAGGGGATACATAAAACACACACACACACAAACAAATCTACAGACTTACTCCAAACTGCCAAACATATTAATTAACACACTCACTCTCATATAGTATTTGACTCTATGTTGGCCTAGTAGAACAATAAGCAGCAGACTTTTACTTTTTTATAATTTCTACTGGATCTTAGATCTGCACATGCGCAATACGAGTATTTGTGTTGGGTAATCTATGGTAGGGCTAACCCATACAGTGGTGGGGCTCAAATCAGTATTTGCATTGTAATTACATACACGCTCCCCTTCACAGTGAAACGCCACGTGAGGTTTAGATTATTTCCCTGTCTCAATCCAAATTGAACTGTATGAAATAAAAAGGCACATTTGGCTTGTAGTAAATAAAAAGGGCGACCTGGAGCCAATCCTGCAATTTCTCCACAGGTGAAAGAGTTGACATGCTGAAAACCCAATCCCTGCAGGGGGGTCTGGGGGGATTCTCCCCCAGGAGATTTTTTGAAATACTAACATAAAATACACATTCTGGTACTCTCTTGAGAAGAAAAATAAATAAATCTATTACTACACGGCATATTTAAAAAAATAAATGCCATTTTAGTTTTTTGTTACTTTGTTCTGAAAGCTGAACCAGCTGCTGCTCCTCACAGAGAGAAGAGGGAAGAGGCTGTGAATGACTTTACATTGTGGATAAGGGTGGATAGCCCCCATTGTTCTGTGTGTCAAGATGAAAGACAGCCCACACACCTATCAATCATCAAACCGTGGGGTCTTATTTCATTACGTGTTGATTGTAGATGTAGTACTACAGCAAAATTATTCTCCGTGGGGACTTCCTGCAACAACACCACGCCGTTATCTTGATTCTGAGTGGCCAGAAGACATTATCAAAGATGTTCTATTGAGAAGACGATCACTATGTGACAAAAGTTTTCAAACCCGTTTCTAGTCTTCGGTATTTTTGTTTTTGGCGTGAGAATAGTTTGTGCAGCGTGAGAGCGTGAGATTGAGAGTGAAAGCGTGTGTCACACGCCAGATGCGTGAGAGTTGGCAACCCTGTCGGCAGGCATGGTTGTCACAATATGCACCCCCTTGCTATTTTACAACATAAAAGAGTCGCATACATGACACTTGCTCCATTTATTGGTACTAGTCCTACAACTATACCTTCAAAAATGCTTGAGGGTGGGATTAGTAGAAACATATTTTTTGGAGGGGTGCTTTTTACGGCAGGCCTGGTTGTCACAATATGAACCCCCTTGCTATTTTACAAAATAAAAGGGTCACTACATGAAACTTGCTCCATTTATTGGTAGCCTACTAGTCCTACAACTATACCCTAAAAAATGCTTGAGTGGGATTAATAGAAACATCTTTTTGGGGGGGTGCTTTTTACGACAGGCCTGGTTGCCACGATATGCACCCCCTTGCTATCTCTGACAATAAACGTGTCACATACATGAAACGTGCTCCATTTATTGGTACTAGTCCTTACCATTAAAAAAAAAAAACCTGGACGTTTACTTTTCGTTTTAAGCATCGTTTTAAGAGACAAATACATTATAAACATTCTAAGAGACTCTGACAACAAAAGGTAGACTCAAAGGCTCTTGATGACATCAATGAGCAGTCCCAATAGATGCTGTTGTATACAAATAAATAGAATAGGTCCAGATTTCTTCTATTTTGTATTGGATGATTTGTTTTATTGATTGCTGATGGATGTTAAGATGTGTTTTACAATTATAACAAAAAGATGATTGTAATTGGAATCAAAAAGATTGCAAATCATAGTTAAAATAAATTCACTAGCAATATAGGGTTTATTCAACAGTGGTGAAGCATTGCTAAATCAACGTACACTGAACTGTAAAACAACTTACCACTATTTAGGAAAGGCTCTGATCAGAAGGGTTGACTAGTAGGACAGCAAAGAGGTGGAGGAGGTCTATGTCATGTACAACCATTGTTGTGATGTTACACCTGAAATTAATACCATAAATAACTGGGTACCAAAGTGCTTTACCTGATAGAACACGTTCCACAGAGCAGCAACCATCCGGCTGGGCCTTTTGCTGCATATCATCTCCTCTCGCTACACTGTTTCCAGTAGATCTTACTATCCAATAAAACTGAAATTCAACACCGAGGATGCACATGTGCATCCTCGAAATTTCCTTGGTAAGGCAAGGCAAGGCAAGTTTATTTATATAGCACTTTTCAACACAAGGCAATTCAAAGTGCTTTACAAAAAATGAAAGACATTAAGAAAATGGCATTTAAAATCAGTCATTAAAAAGAAAAGCTAATAAAATAAACATTAAAAGAAAAAATACATGGATAAAAGTTACAGTGCAGTCTAAGATATGAATAGTTCAATTAAACATTAAAAGAAAAAGTACATGGATAAAAGTTACAGTGCAGTCTAAGATATGAATAGTTCAATTAAAAGCAGCGACAAAAATAAAAGTCTTCAGCCTGGATTTAAAAGTAGTCAGAGTTGCAGCGGACCTGCAGGTTTCTGGGAGTTTGTTCCAGATATTTGGAGCATAATAACTGAACGCTGCTTTACCATGTTTAGTTCTGACTCTGGGGACAGAAAGCTGACCAGTCCCTGAAGACCTGAGAGATCTGTATGGTTCATAATTTAGCAGGAGGTCAGAAATGTATTTTGGGCCTAAACCATTCAGTGCTTTATAAACCAGCAGCAGTATTTTTGAAATCTATTCTTTGACACACAGGAAGCCAGTGTAAAGACTTCAGAACAGGAGTGATGTGATCCACTTTCTTAGAGTTAGTGAGGACTCGAGCAGCGGCGTTCTGAATCAGCTGCAGCTTCCTAATAGATTTTTTAGTGAGACCTGTGAAGACACCATTGCAGTAATCGAGTCTACTGAAGATAAAAGCATGGACAAGTTTTTCCAAATCCTGCTGTGACATTAGTCTTTTAATCCTAGATATATTCTTTAGGTGATAGTAGGCTGATTTAGTAACTGTTTTAATGTGACTGTTGAAACTCAGGTCAGAGTCCATGACTACACCTAGATTTCTGGCTTTATCTGTTGTTTTGAACAATGCAGACTGAAGCTCA